ATATCAATCCACAATGCTTCGAATTCATTTTTTGACGTGCATAGATCATCTCTTTTCGAGTATTTTAAATTATTGTTCACAAATAATCCAACCCCACCAGCATTTGATAGAGAAGGTTGTGATAAAAAATTATACCCACTAATGTCAGTATTAGTTGTACAATCTTGTTGCTGTTTTATCTTTGTTTCCGAAATTCCAATCACAGAAAATGGAAACTTTAATTGGGAGAGTAGTAAAGAAAGTTTATCAATATTGGCTGCAAGACTCCTAATATTACAGTGTATGGTTGAAAAAAGATCATGTTTGGATAAAGAGGAAATTTCCCTTGTAAGTTTTAGTCTATAGTCATTAGGTCAATTTATCTGAAGAGTGCCACATACTGTGGTACGAAACTATTTAGTAATAAAGATGCCTAGTGGATTTTGTTGATTTGTTGTACCTTAATTTAAATATGCTCTGGTTTTCCATTGAGCACTTATAACCAACGAAATCAAATTTTATATATATATATATATATATATATATATATATATATATATATATATATATATATATATATATATATATATATATATATATTGTATGATGCATGAATATTCTATATCAACCGTATAGAATATTCACTGACATGGCTTATTTAGGATTTTATCACCATACATGCAAGTGTTTAACCGATATATAAAGGAGCACTCGGTAAATATAAAGATATACAAGCTTCAGTGAAGCTAGAGTGAAGCTAGCAATGCCAAACGTACTGTATACGCGCAATCGCTCAATGCCAAAGTATACTCTTTATATAAAGATATCAAATTCAAGGAAGCAAAAAATGCCGAAGTATAAGTATACTCGTAGACTGCATTTTTGAAGAACAGGCATCAATATATATTACGGCAGGGCTTACAGGAAAGGTAAATTCAGAAGATATGATACCCGATACTATTTTTGCCTTTTTACGACTCGTCACGAAATTCGTGAACCACATCAGCACAATATCATATGAAGACTATAGGCAGTGCAAACTTCATGTAAGCAAGTTCGTAAATTCAGAAGAGATGGTACTATTTTTGCCTTTTTACGACTCGTCACGAAATTCGTGACGAGTTATATCGACTTGTACCTTGCGATGGATTTCACGACTCGTGACAACTTGTAACGAGTCGTGAAATTCATGACGAATTATATCGACTTGTACCTTGCGATGGATTTCACGACTCGTGACAACTTGTAACGAGTCGTGAAATACGGGAGTATTGGACATATTTGTTCGTTTTCCATGCAATTCCCAACGGTGAAATAATGTGATTTCGACTGGCAATTTTTATTTGACAAGTATGTGGCCATTTCTCATCGTTACGATTTAAAAAGAGTATCATTGAAAAGCTAAATAACTGTTCTTTCGTCCTATGTAAAAATTGAATTGTTTAGCCACGTCAGTTATGATACACGACAGCCTGTTGAATTTCCATAGCTTTTTTTTAGACACCCTGTATATGCTAGCCTGCATGGCTACCCGGGCTGATGATTTTACATGCACAAATTTCATCGCTGTTGACCAGGCGCCCCGTTTGAGTCAAGAGAGATCCCACCTAAACGGGCTAGCCCGGTTTGTACATGCAAATTTGAATTGTTTTTAATAAGAAATTACTATGAAGCCGGGCGCCTCGTTTAAACGGGCCAGCCCGGCAAACCGGGCTCATGTAAACAGTCCCTAAGAAAGGAAAGGAAAAGCAATGCCCAGATTAGACTCGATCACTCCGAGATTCGACGCTTTCTTGGCATTCAATGCAAACGAAACTAGTTTTTTCCAATGCGTGTATACAGATTGTACACAAGTAATTAAAATAGACAACACAGGATATGTAAATATAAATACTACTATATAATTGAGTATTAAAAATTCAAGAAATTATAATTTTTATTTACCTAATAATGGTAAAATTTATTATCACGATTTTGAGCTAATTCGATAGCATTCAGCTATAAGTGGCTGTTTATTTGGAGCTGGGCTGGCCCGCTGAGCGAGACAGTCCAGTAATTGAGATGAATTTTAATTTGTTTGCCTGTATATGTGAGAATTTCCATCGCCAACTATTCCGGTCATGTGTAATTCATTTGATTCAGCGGTACCAATAGTGATAGACTAGTTTACCCACAGGGTAGTGAATGCTGCCTTGGTATAGCATTGTTCCCAAATCTTTAACATTTTAAAGAATAAGAGAAAGAAATATTTGTAATCACCATTCCCCAATTAACAAAAATTTTGATCTCAACAAGTCTAAACAAAATTCCATCATAGCATGAAAGAGCATCGCAAAATTAGTAATATTCCAAAGTTTCGTTGCGAAATGTTGTAAAATGCGGATAATATAGCCTTGCGAAATTTGCAATTTTCAGTCATTTTAGATTGCAAACGGGTTACCACTTTTCCAAAATTTTGATCTTAACTAGCCTAAACAAAAATTTCATCACAACTTGAAAGAGCATCACAAAATTAGTAATATTCCAGAGTTTCGTTGCAAAATGTTGTAAAATGCGGATAATATATAGCCTTGCGAAGTTTGTAATTTTCAGTCATTTTGTAATTTGTATTACGCACAGAAGTGGTAACCATCTCCCGTTTGTAATCTAAAATGACTGAAAATTGCAAAGTCTAGATTTGTTGAGTTCAAAATTTTGGTTAATCGGGGAATAGTCCGTTGGAATCATCCATAATTTATACACTTGAATATTGCCGTATGATATTAAAGTTTCGTATCGAAAGAGGAACAGCCGAATTATAACAGGTACGATGGCTAACAAGAATGAGTGTACTTATCAACTTATCTAACGCAAAGAAAAGATCAAAATGGCAGGTATGGCTGTGATATCTAGTATATAAAATTGTATAGACAATTTGCCTACAAATACGGTGCTAGGTCAAAACGGCCCCGCTTCAATAATCATATGATTTAGACCAGGGGTTAAAGGGCAATGACATGCAGGTGACATTTAACATGTGCGAGTGTGCGTCTCACTAAATTTGCGTGTTTAATAATGTTTATCAAAGAAGGCAAAAATATATACAAAACAACCTCACATGTGGAATCTGTTCACTTACGCACTGCCTTGTGACGTAGTACAAGTACAAATACAAATGACAAAGCATTTTTAAAGGCTTTAAATCCTAAAACATAATTAAATCATACGGCACATTCAAGATTTTAATATCGTATTTCAGCCGCGTTTATACTGCTTGGCGCGCATTCGCTGCGTTTTAATATATTAATTTATATACCTATGTTATATATACACATGTTTATTACTAATAAATCAACACTATATGATAATATATAAGAACTCACAAAGTGCAGTCACCTTTTTATAAATAAACCTTTTTAAAAGCATGTCATTGTCATTGCAGACCAGAGGCAAAAAGCACAGCCACGTAGGCCTACCAGATTTATTAAGCAATCGTGAGATTATATACATGGAATGAATATGGAAATTATGTTAAAAGCACCCCGTATAATGACGAAAGCACCGCGTATAATGCTCGAACCACTGCGTATAATGGAAACGCACCGCGTATAATGGCGAAAGCACCATGTATAATGCTCGAACCACTGCGTATAATAGCGAAACCACCGCGTATAATGCTCGAACCACTGCGTATAATCGACAAAATGCCGTTTGATCACTTACGCCAGCTATGGCTTTCCATAAAAGAAAACCAAAGATGAAAGATGATCACATTGCTTGTTTTCCTTATGCCTGTTTATTAGGCAAGAATAGCCTGTGCATTGTGGTAGGCCGAAATACGCCGAAACGATCGAGATTTCATCTGCCTTACTATTCGTACTACCTACGAAACTATTTAGTAATAAAGATGCATGCCTACTGCATTTTGTTGATTGTTGTACCTTAATTTAAATATGCTCTGGTTTTCCATTGAGAATTTTACCAAACGTTTTTATAACCAACGAAACCAAGTCGTATATATATATATATATATATATATATATATATATATATATATATATATATATATATATATATATATATATATACATACACATAAAGATTAGGATTGCTGCCTCGCTCGCGCGCTTCACGCTCGCTCGCTATGGCAGCAATAAAAGGCGTTTTTTTGGGAGGTTTTCCCGCTAAAATAATTTGAAAAGTTGAAAATAATACATTTTTAACGATTTGAATATTTAATCCTTACAAATATTGTCATATTGACAAGTTGCGGCTGGCTTTGCCAGAATATAAAAGAATAAGTTCTGGCATCGAGAAACTCCTTGGAGATATGCGCACTCTGAATAAACATCAAATATCATTATCACATCATTTTGGTAGCAAACGTAGCTAGGTCTACATACCATTTTGTTTTACACACACACGAGTATACAACCTACGACACAGATTATGGCGCACAACTTTTCGACTATGAGTATAAAATCAAGCAGTTTGGAAGGCAAAACGAAAACTTTATTTTATAGCCTCGAGCTAGCACGAATTTTTGTCCACTGATGAAATATGAGATTCAACTTACACCTACCACTCCGGCAAATTGCAGATAACAATTTCAGAAATTCTGCTACGGATCTTTAAAGTTTGACAATATGAAAGTTTTCTGGCTTTGTTATATATAAATTGTATTACTTGGATAGCGCCTTTATTCACACGGTGAAACGAAAGGTAAATTTTGGTTTTCGAAGTCTGATTCTACAGAACTGTCAAAAGTTAACAGTCACTTCGGCAATTGAAAATTATTGTTTGGTTTCTGCAATTTCTGCCTTTCTTTACTTGTCTGCAATGCGTTTCATAATAAGTTGTTTGCCATTTATACTTGGCAATTGGAGAACCCGCTAACGCAATTGTGTGCTCAATGACCGAAATAGTTGGCAATGATCCCGCTTGTCTGCGGAATAGAAATATTTTACAATGCACTTATACATAGCTATCTGGGACAAAGTTAAATTTCAAAATAAATACCTTTTCTTCTTTTTTTTCTTTTTAGTAACGACCAGAAGGCTAATAAATTGTAACAACGTTTCGGAGTTTACTCCATCATCAGGTTACATTTATACGCACTAAAAAAAAACCGTGCGTATAAATGTAACCTGATGATGGAGTAAACTCCGAAACGTTGTTACAATTTATTAAATTTTTTTAAAAAGCCTTCTGGTCGTTACTAAAAAGAAAATTATTACATTTAAATGAGGCTTAGAGAAAGTTCGCTTCTAATCACATTGAAGAATATAAATACCTGTTATTTGCTTTGAAACTCCCTATTTATTAATACTACATGTACAGCTGTTGAAGTAATTTGCTTTCTTTTGTTCTATCCTTTCTCCCTATCCAATGCTCAAGACTATAGAAATAAACGCTGAAAATACCTAAAATTATCTTAAAAACGTCCATACCGGCAAGCGGGCTACCCCGGGAACTTTTCCATTTTGCTTGTCGAGATCTCGTCTCTTTCAAGCGAAATCTCGCCAAGCCACCCGACCAGCCCAGAATGTTTTACAATAAACTCTACTACACGGCGTTTTATTAAGCGGGCTATATAAGCTATTCTGTTTCGCTTAGCGGGCAAGCCCGCTTTTCATATAAAAGCCCTTAAAGGCAATTTTAACAGGTTTCATGACCAATACTTATATCTTAACGCGTGCATATTCTCACCATGCACTATTAGGGAGTTAAGATGGGTTTAAAAATGTTAAAACACGAACCCTTGTACGAGGTTAAAAAAGAATTACTTCTTTCTTTAAATACACTATACTGCAAATACTATATGTACCAAACACCAGCCGTTGTAAGTGATAAAAATTCTTGGAGGAAATTATACTACTTGTTTGCAATTCAAAAATCATATGATATAAATTCTACAGCATTGATTTTTTAATCCGAGGGAGATTGGCTATACACGCCGTCTATATCACTATTGTTATAAATTTCTATTAATAAAAATTGTTTAAATACAGCTATTTAAAAAATGTTGTCTTTTGTAAACCTAAATTTCTAAACCCTAAACCTTAAACTCCAAGCATGCACGTAAAGCTGAATAGGAGCAAAGGCTTCAAGCCCAGAAGTTAAATATTGTAACTATTTGTAAATGAATTATTCTCGCAAGTAGTCATTTACTATTGCCCTAAGAAATAGGTCCCATGTATAATTTCTAAACTGATGAAATGATGCTTATATGGTAATATGCTTTGCATGTTTAGAGTTTATAAAGTTTAAGGTTTACAGTTTAAGGTTTGCAAAGGACAACCTTTTATGAATTATAGCTGTAATCAGTCATGATAATTTATAGTAGCTGCTAAATATACGGTACCTCTGATCCCATTTTTATGCTCAAATATAACAAATTATTCATTTGAATCATTTCAAGAGCAAACAGCTTTTGTCCAGAGTAACAATGTTATTGATTAGTCAGTTGTGGCTGCATTTGAACAGACGTTTCAATGCCAAGTGACGCCATCACTTTGAAGTTACATCGGTGGCGTAACCTTGCTTTAGGTGACCTTGTCAATCGTTGGGCAGCATGCTTCTTTCGGCAATAAACTACAGTACAACTTTGCCCTTAAAAAGAGAGGATCATGAAAAATAGAATAAAAGTGGGGGTGAAAAAATATTGATATAGTCACAGAGATATTATTTTAAAATTTAATGAACGTACGAGGGCAAAAGAATTCATTATCAACAAAAAATATTACAAGATAATATTTTCTATGATTTTCATGTATATATAGTAATAATGGTTTTACAAAAATTGCCAGCTACAGTAAATGAGTAATGGCTAATGTATGGTACATATTGTATAAGGTACAGTGAATAATTTATTTCCTATACTCTGTTTTGACTTAAAAAATTAGGCAACTTTATTTACCTCTTTCATGGCTATGATTTGTTCAGACTGAGAGTTTGTCCCTACAGTGGTGTGACATCTTTTCTATTTAGGAGGGGTTTGGTTGATATAGTCAGCCTGTTTAAATAAATTTTTACTAGCTACATCCATACTGATTGCAATTATCCAAATGCTTGAAACTGAAAGAATCGCTTGGGGTCACAAATATTTGAGTTGCAAATAACAAAACAACGATGTCAATGTAACATTATATCGGTATTTGCTTCATTTATGTTTAATGATTTCCAATCTGCATGCTGTCAATATCTAACAAAGAAGATATCAACTGTGTTTATATCATGGCATTTCAGCTGAACATTTTGTGCAAACAATTTATATTGATTAAAAATAACTTAAACTATAAAGGAAGGCGACTGACCTAAGACTGAACATTGCAAATAATTGCACGAAAATGAAGGTCTTCATAATTTGTCTAATCATCGCCATTTCAGGCTTCGCCAAGTCAGAAATTTACGAAAATGGTAAGTAGAATACAGCGATTTTATAATGATTTTAAAATAATCTGTTTAGTATAAACTGTTTTGTGTTGGCATATAGTTTTAGAGTGTTTTTGCCATTGTTATAGCTATACATATGCAATCCATAACTTGGTACAATGGTACATTCATGTTCAAAAATTATATTTAGTGTTAATGTCAATTCATTGCAAAATCAGTATTCTTTACCATAGAAAATTTTGACGAAAGTTCGGAGGACAACTCAGTTTTTGACAAGATCCTGGCTATTAACGAAAAATCAGGTAAGTATGAATAATTTGCGAAAGAAAGACCATTTCCACAATAAGGTAGGGTTTACGTCAGTGCTATCCTGCAATAGTTTTTCCGACCAATTTTATTTATTTGAAAATTTTCTGAATTTTTCCTCCAGTTAACCGACGAACTTCTCCATACAAGGGCGCAAATCCTGAAGGGGGGGGGGAGGGGGGACGGAGGGGACATGTCCCCCCACTTTGTTGGCAGAGAGGGATGAATATTGTGTTATCCCTTCCCCACTTTTTAACAGTCAATTCCCCCACGATTTATCAAGTGTAGTGTCCTTTATTTGCTGGAAACTTTGTGTGTAAATCTAAATGGAGTAATGCGTTTCACAATTACAATGCATTTACATCCTCGTATCAGCAGTCATGTTTATTAAAACTGTTCCTGCTAAATTACTGTAATAAATTATGTTTTCTGGTATAAAAATGCATAAAATCATAAATCATCTCTCCCACTTTTCAAGACAGATTTGCGCCCTTGTCTCCACAGAAGTGTGTGTGTCGAGGGTGCCATTGCCCTCCTTGTCATCTTCGTGGTTAACGCGTATCATAACACCTTAAATGTAGTTGTCTTCCGCGTTCTACTCTGTATGGTTTTATTATGAATGCAACGCCCGAATTGCCTCACAGAAAGGAAAAGACAGTACTTTCATGAGCATAAATTCCTTTTTACTCCTAATTGGAGTTCTAGACTGGCAAGTTAAACTGTAAAACCCTAGAGTTTCCTTGCATCAAAGATTGAAATACAGGTGAATGCGATACTTAGCAATACGATTCGTTGTTTTGACAAGCGTTTAATATAACAAAAAATTTTCAGCTAGATCACGTTCAGGACATAAAGCCAAATATTTTGAGGGAGACATTGTGATCACCAAATCGGTAAAAGAAATGATTGAAAATCGCAAACGCGGTGCAGCCTCAAATAATAAGCGACATATTTGGCCAATCAACGATGGCAAACACGAAATACCTTATCAAATTGGCGGAGGTAAGTTAACATCAAAATCTAAATGAATAATTTAGTCAGGGTCAAGCCCATCAGAGTAGATACGCTAGAAAAAAGTTAGCAATTTATGTTTCGGTAACCAAGGTAATTGGGGTTAGTGTTAGTGTTAGGCATACGGTTTAAGATTAATTTTCAGGGTTTGGGATAGAATGTGATAGAATCAAACTAGTGAGCAAAACATAAATTGATTACCAAAACAAATGTTATCGACCAAGCATCGAAATGGCTTCTTGTTGTACTTGATGCTGCCTATACTTTTACTAATAATTATTTGGTGAAAGATTCCATAGTGTTATTGTTCTATAGTAATAAAGCTGTTCTTACATATAGTTTATTTGTCCTGCTATACAAACTTAAAAATTTATTTCGATGCAATGATTTATAAAACATTGTTCTTCCGTCAAATGTCGACTGTAGAAAATTATTATCTTTTTTATTTTTTATAATATTGGTATTAACATTTTATTTAATTGATTGATTTTGAAGATTGCCCAAAGTCGTCTTAAATCACCCAAAATCTTCCTAAAAATTTCAAACAGGCCTTTAAACGCCTTTAATATCCCAAAGATGGGTTAAAGCGCTCAAAGCTGCCAGTTTTTATAAATACAATACCAACTATATGATAAAGTAGCATGGTAAAGGGTTCAACTCTTTCAGTGTATGGCCGTTTTAACTTTCCGGCCTGGGCTATTTTGAAAAAATAAGGGGCTATTTTGAAAAAGCAAAATGCCAGAGATATATCGGCCTATAATAGTAGTGGTATTGGGAGTCGTTTTGATTCCTGTCACGGAAGGCCGCTTTTAGTTTACTTTCACGCGGACGTTTTAATATTTGTATAGGGCGCGTTTTGATTCTACACATTTGTTTATTTATTTTCAGACTTATACCATCCTCCCTTGTCACCATTCAATATTTTGCCTTAATTATTCAATATATATCATCAAAAAGCTGCAAAAGTTCTACTCACTACCTATAAACGACACAACAGGGCCATTTATACGGGGCAAAATAAGTCGCGACTTACATAAGGCGCGTCTAATAATATAAGCGGAGTTATCGTATGAATTGTTCTCTACGGCTCTAGTCTTATTTATTATAAGTAATACCATGGTTTTTAAGAATATAGTGATTAAATCTCCCGCAAACCGAAGGAGGTTTGTGAAAGTCCCGAGGGAAAGCCTGAGGGCGAAGCCCGAAGGCGCCCCGAGGGACTTTCACAAACCTCCTCGGTTTGTGGGAGATTTAATCACTATATTCTTAAAAACCATGGTATTAGTTTGTAATACCATGATGACCGAGGTGAGGCTAGTGTTTTCATTGTACAAAATTAATAGATAGTACGAGTATTGTGTAATACAATGCATGATCAGTGATGTATACAACAATTTTCCATTGTCGGAAATTCGTTTGGGAATAAACAATTCTTAATATACGTGTGTCTGTGCCGGGTGCATGTGCATGCACGCATATAAAACGAGTTACTTTTTAACTCAACTCAAGTCTTGTTCTTGGACGCTCACTAAGGATGATATGGCAGATAAACGTTTCTCGTTTGTTATGGAAGCCGATGTTCAGAAAGTTAGAGATAACAGAACGCCTGAGAATACTATCAAACACACTAGGTGGAGCACGAATGTTTATAAAGCATGGGCAAAGGCAAGAAATACCGAGTTTCGTGATTTTGAAGCCGAGAGTGAAGTATTCAAGCGTGTGCCAGATTTGCAGGAGATGAGCGTTGACGAAATTAATCACTGGTTTAGCCGATTAACGCTAGAAGTACGGAAGAGAAACGGTAAAGAATACCGCCATGAAGTCGTGTATAGTCTGTTTTGTGGTTTAAACCGAACAGTTCAGTTGCAATATCCAAAGTTAAACCTGTTTAATTCGGCTGAGTTTAAGCCGCTTCAGCAAACGCTCGATGGGAAGCTGAAAGAACTACAGAGCACCCAAAGCCCAATGAAGAAGAGAGCAGATGCAGTGACGGTTAGCGATGAAAGGGTAATGTGGAATGATGGCATTTTGGGTACAAGTTGTCCGACTAGTGTCATTAATACGTTAGTATTCTTAACGGGAAAGATGTTGGCATTAGGGGGTGGTAAAGAGCAGCGAGAATTGACGCACGATCAATTTCAGTTTGTCGAGCAGACTAATGGTAAAATGGTCGTGAAGTATGTAGAAAAGGTCTCGAAAACAAACCAGGGAGGTTTAAAACGGCGAAAACAGGAGACGAAGAGAGTCGAACATCTTGAGGACCCTCTACACGAAGAGTCTTTCGGTTTCATTTATCACTTTTATGTTTCAAAGTGGTAAGTAATTTGTATCCTTAATATAGAGTTATATACTTCATTATAGTAATATATAATATACTTTTTACATTAATTACGTCTAATATTTTTTTTATATTTTTAGTCCCGACATGCCGGCTGATGGCCCGTTTTACTTGCAACCTAAACGAAAATGGTCCTACAGCGACAACCTGTGGTTTGAAGCCAGACCAATATTGGGTGGAATATGCTGGAGAAACGGTTTAAAAAAATGTGCAAAGATGCTGGTTTAACGGGAAATTTCACAAATCACTCTGGACGAGCTACATCAATCACGCGTTTGTATGATGCTGGTGTGCCGGAAAAATCTATCATGAAAAGAAGCGGTCATCGATCCATTGAAGGTGTGCGAACATATCGAAGGGAAGACGCGAGTGCCAACACCCTTGTCTCAAATGTTTTGTCTGGTGCTTCTACCTCAAATTCTGATTCAGATATTGACGATGAAACTCTCGTAAATGCATGTATAGATTATGAACAACGTGCAAGTTCGACACTAGATTTGAGTGGACTACTACAAGGAGCTAATTGTGGAACTGTGAACATCAACATTAATATGAGTAAATAAATTGCTGTCTTTATAACATAGTTGTGTGAAATGTTTAGTGAAAAGTGAATATTAATAAGTCGAGTAATTAACACTTTATCTTACTGTCATTAACATTGTAGTGTAATTATTTTGTTTGTTGTGTAAAAGCTATTAAGAAAACTCTTTCTCGTGTCTTTGAATTTTGGCTCATGACTTTTAATCAGGGAGAAATTAGAAATCTGCCCGGCTTTGCCGGGAGAATTAGATATCTCCCCGCTAAGGGCCATTCCATTTAATGTCCACACCCCCCCTACGGATGAGCTTTTCTGAAGGGTGACTCAAAAAGTCGTTTCTGAGAGATTAAGCCTGTCGGCATCCTTTGATCTCTGCGATTTTTCTGAGGGGTAAGGGGAAAATTTACAAATTTCTGAGGGGTGTTTTGTGTCGGCACTTTGATCTTTTTTTCTTAGGGGTTAAAATTTTACTGACCTCATCCGTAGGGGGTGTGTGGATATTAAATGGAATGGCCCTAAGCCGGGAATATCGTGATTAAACCACCCGGCGGGGACAAGAGAACCCGAGGTCATCATGGTATTACTTGCTATAGCTATAGTGTTGTTTTGGTTGTTTTTGTTTTAAGGTTACAGGACACCAAAAATCCAGTGCATCCAAAATATGGTAAAGTTGTAAAATTAACAAACAATAAAATAATGTAAGAATTATTCAGAAAAATCTTAAATCGCGGTACCTTTACGCTTTTGCGTTGTGCTCCTGCTCGTTTTAAGTTATATTTATGAAAAGATCATTTTTACACAGTAAAATAGTTGTTCTAAAAAATTGTGTTCGGAAATTTTTGTTTATTTCGTCATTCCGCTGATATGGCGATTTCTTTGACGACTGCATTATATTTCTGAATTGTTTGAGTGAATTGCTCTTTATTTTTAAAATATCCAAAATTAAACAAAAGCCGAACACACTTTTGAAACTGACGTATTTAGCTATGTCCTTTGAAAATTTGAGACAAATTGGTTAAAATCCGCAGGAGCATAACTCGTTTGAAAATCAGTAATTACCGTAAAATTTTTCGGGAGAAAATTGAATTTGAATATTACATTTTCAATGTTTTTCTTATTGCAGCGAAATGTATTTTACTAAATAACTCTGCGAGTTTTCAACATTTTTCGTTCAAACTTGGTCAGATAGTAGAACTAGTCTAATGCTTTCATTGAAACCAATAAAAAAATTTTAGGCAAAATTAACACTCAAAGGTGTTCTGTAACCTTAATAAGCAAGGCTAAAAATTTTACGTTGTTTCAAGTTTCGGGCATGTGTAGCTAGACCTTCTATCCAAAATGTCTAATTCACCCTAATTCCCGACGAAGGGCCTTTGTTCGAAACGTCGAATCTTAATATCTTATTAAAACGTTTAGGTAGTGAGTATTTTCCTGCTTGTTGATGTTGTTATCCGCTACCTATGCACTGGTCACATATTTAAGTTCAATATCATCAATGAATGTTCGCAAGTGATGCAAGTGTTAGTAATGCGGCAAATTCCAAAATGTCATAAACTCTAAATTAGGTTATTACAAATGAGCTGAATGTGCAAAAACTGAGTTTATGGCAATTGGGTCTCGGCAAAGAATGGCAAGTATAAGTATCAATTAGAGAGCTAGAAATTAAAGTCAATGATTGTGAGATCAATTATTATAGCGTTGCTTCAGTTAGGCTTTTAGGGGTTATATTGACCAATATCTTACCTATGGCAGTTCATATTGACAAATTATCAGTCTAAAGAAATTTCTTTCGGTATCGGCGCTCAAAACGTATAAGACTGATTATACCAACAGACACAGCGGTCCAAATCGGTCGAGACAGACAAGACAAGACAAGACAAGACAAGACAAGACAAGACAAGACAAGACAAGACAAGACAAGACAAGACAAGACAAGACAAGCGGTCCAAATCTATCGAGCATTGATTCAAGCTGACTATTGTTGCTCTGTCTGGGATGGTCTTGGTGAAATATTCAGTTGTAAATTGCAATAACTCGAGAACCGAGCGGCAAGGGTCATCTTGAGGACAAATTATGATGCCAGTGCGGGCCTTGTGCGGGCACTTTGTGATTTGGATAATCTCTCCTTACGACGGAAAAAAACACAAAGCTAAATTTGTTTTTAAGACAATCCATGTGGATATTCTGAAATGAAATTAATGGTCCTGAGATCGGTCGATCATGTGATCTCAAAATACCCAGATTTCGTGGGCATTTTGAATCTGCATAACATGCTTTAATAATTTTCAAAATGGCGACGTTACGGGGAGTTTTAAATGTGATACGGCAGATGGGGATTGCATTTGATAATGCAAATTCCCACCCTTAAATTTAAAGCAACTTCAAACAAAGTGCTTGCAGTACAGTATAATTATTATGAATTTGCGAACATTTTGTATAAATTAATAAATTCATGTAACCAATAAGAGCCAAGAAACGGCCCGGCCGATCCCAGGGCCGTTTCCCGCCTCTTCCCAAGCCAAGGGAAATGCCCTGGGGGCGAGGTTGTGAACAAATCACTTAAAACGAAACTCTTATTATAGTGGAGCATGCAGTATTGTGGAATACTCTCCCCCAAAATATACGAAGGTCTAAATTGTTTTCTCAGTTCAAGCAAGCAGTAAATGAGTATTTACAAACCTAAACCTACTTGCACACGGCAATCTTGTAAGCCAGTAAGAAAATTTATTATATACATGACAAAATTACTGCAATCTGATTGGTTAAGAGGAGTGTAATTATTTCATTAATTATTTATCTTCTGTAATCAGTGGCAAATACTGCAATTTCATTGGTTTACAGGAGTGCGATTTGAGCATTAATCGCAACTTTTCCGAGCTGTAATCGCACTCTTGTCTACAGCCAATGAAAATCAGTCTAGTATTTACAACTAGCCAATCAGCATTCAGGATACAAACTTTGAATTTTATTTTCTTTATTGCTGTAAAAAAATTCAAAATGGAGGAATTCACAAATTTTGACCTTTTAATTTTAAATCAGCCCTCGAAAACCGTCAAAATTGAGGTCGGAAAAAAAATGCCGACCTAACCTGACCTAGCTCGGTGCATCTCGGCATTTTTTAAAATCTGTTTCCATGTCTTGGAGCACTAGTAGCCTGCACTAGTAATCACGTATTTACGAATCATTGAAAAGTATAAATGTCACGAAGCCTTTTCTTTTCGAAGTGGCTATTCGTACTGGAATATGGCACCTGATTCTTACATTACGTAAACTAGCAATATAAAATAGTTTTTTGCAACAGATTTTAGCGAGCTTGACGCTAACGTATTCGGCAAAGGCGTTGCGTGCGTGCGAAGTGAAACGAGGTCGGGTCCGTGTTTAGTTTTAGCCGTCGGTTTTCTGTTGACTTAGAAATTTTTCTTAAAAAATTTTTTCCCGACTTTTTTAACTCTCAAATTAATAGTTTATTAGACTTTATTGGTTAGGGTTAGAGAAGGGGTTGGGGTTGGGGTCAGGTTTATCTTAAATATTACGACTGCAGTACGAATAGCAAATCAAACTCAGCGTACTGTTCCAGTACGAATAGCCACGGCGTTTCTTTTAGAGTTTTACCTAAATTACATCATAAATATACCCGTTAATTCTTAAACCTTACACCAAAGTGCATCGAATTCTATAATCGCTGACTTTTTAACAGCTATAAGCACCAAAAAAGATTATTACTTTGGCTGAATTAAGGTCGGCAAAACATTGCCGACATGGGAGGTTGATAGGTCGGCATTTTAATACTGTAGGTCGGCATTGCCGAATGCAGATCTCGTTTTCGAGGGTTGTTAAATGATATATTTTCTGACGAAAATGACCTACCTGTTCATCCAGCACAAGACGCCGAACTAAACACAACCAGGAGTTATATTTCAATCCAATTCAGATGATTAATTGGACTAAAGAACTTCACTATTTTGAACACGTTAATATAAACATACAAACATGGCTTCCCAATTGTGTGTTGAATAATTCAAACAAATGTTGTCATGTGATTATACCGGAAATAATGCCCGGAAGTTAATAATATGTTAATTTGATTATATATGATAAACAATAATTCAAAATTGTACTATTTCACTAAGAATTGTCGTGACAAAAATTTAACAATTATATTGAACTTCACCAAATTGTATTTTTCTGCTTTTCCCCCTTAAACAGTTTGATTACAGAAGATAAATAATTAATAAGTAATAGAACGAATTAAAGTCGTACTATTAATGCCATAATCATACTCGTGATTAACAAATCAACCTCCCGCTACGCGGTCGGTTGATTTTGTAATCACTCGTATGATTATGGCATTAATAGCACTCCTATTCGTTCTATTACCATCATTAATTGCACTCTCCAGGAGTGCAATTAATGATTTGAAAAAAACAAAATGGCGGCTCGTTGTAAATACGAGTGAGTCTACTATTCAGTTACTTAAAACAAAAGCAGAAAATGAAAATACACAAAAAAGCACTGCCAGTTGGTTAAATGTTTGGCACGAATGGGCTTTGTGCCGAAATTATCATGTTAAAATGGAAAATTATCCACCTGGGGCCGGTTGTATAAAAAAGTGATTAAAGTTAACTATAATTAAGTGGAAACGTCATCCAATAAGAAGCGCCTATTTGAGAGTTAATCACTATTTAACTACAAAATAGTGATTAAAAAAGTGATTAACAGTTTTATACAACCGGCCCCTGAAGAGTTAAATAAAACTCTTGAAAAATTTTATGCGGAGGTGCGAACGAAGACAGGTAATGAATACGAGCCAGAGAGTCTGAAGGTCATGCAGGCTGCCTTGGACCGTTACCTGAGAGAGAAAAAATACCCCTACTCAATAATTCGCGATGATAAATTTGAGGAATCAAAGAAAGTCCTTGAAGGAAAGGCTCGTGAGCTTCGCAAAGAAGGCCGCGGTAAACGACCTAACGCTGCCAAACCTCTTACTCTACAAGAAGAAGAAATGTTATGGCAAGAAGGAAAACTTGGCAACTCGTCTCCGCAAATTTTAACAAATACAATGTGGTGGTTACTCACCCAGCATTTTGGGCTCCGAGGAAGACAAGAGCATCACACTATGTCTGTCGAAGGCTTCTCGTTCGGCGAAGACGACAACGGACATGAATACATAACGTTTTACGAAAGCCCAACAAAAACACACCAGGGCGGTCTTCACATCACAAGACGACAGCAGCTTCCCAAAATGTTTGCCACCGGTGGAGAAAGGTGCCCAGTAGCGCTATTTCAAGAATATGTCAACCACCGACCACATAAAATACGCTACGAAGGCCCATTTTACCTGACGCCATTGCCGAAAAAACACAACACGACATCGTTTGGAACAAGCGAGTAAAACTTGGGGTGAATTCCATTGCCAAAATCATGAAGTTGCTGATTGCCAATACATCCCTGGAACAGTGGTAAGAAATTGACCAATCATTCCGCCAGAAAGACACTGGTCAAGAAACTGCGAGCAAGTAACGTGGAGCGGTCGTCCATAATGAATGTCACCGGGCACAGAAATGAACAGTCACTAAACGACTATGATGAAGGAAACGAAGTCGAACAACGCCATATATCAAATTTAATAAGCAATGCTAATGCTGGTCAGTGCCGCCAAATAGAAAAGATGTCTTCGCCACAACAAATGCCAACACAATCTTTCAACTATCCACACTGGGCTTCCAGCATAACAAGCAGTTCATCGAGTGAATCCGGTCAGAGCAACCAATTCTACAGCTGTAATGTCGTCTTCAACATGAACCAAGTTACTTCTCCCAAAGGTCAAAAGCGTCCATTCAGACGAATTCTTGAAAGTGATTCCGATTCCCAGGAATAAACTCCTGGAATTTGGCCTATTGTTGGATATATCAGTTTGAACTTGAACATAGTTAATTTAACTATGACTTGAACAATCGTTTGTTGTTGAACTTACATCGCTGCTTCGTTTGGACATTTCGACTTAATATTTGAACTTCATATAAATCTTACATAATTTATTGTAAACAATATGAAGGAAGACGTTTATAGTTACTTCTTGTACATAGTTTACACGTTTAAATAAACTAGATCTTGTTGATTTCAGCTACGTATAATATTTTCAGAAGCACATGTGTTCTCTGCAGTCGCGTGACGTCAATACCGGGGGGGGGGGGGATAACAGTAATTTTGTCATGCATATAATAAATAAATTATCGTGATATTTGAAAAATGTGCCATGGCACATTTTTCAAATATCACTCGTAGTGTTAATCATTAATTGCACTCCTTCCCGTATGATTACCTATACTAATTTGCTATTTTTGTATTATCTTATTTGTTTGTAACTACCGAAGATTTTACTGTGGTTAAATAAATTTTGCTATTGTTTACTTTATAGTATTCTAAATTTTGATTGGTCAATTTACCTGCAAATAACTGCGTGCAAATAATAGTCTGGGCATGCGCATTCTTTAAAAACGTTGCTCACCTACAAATAAAACTCTGAGCATGCGCATTGCCTTCAATTTTTCTAAACTCGGTTCTCGCAAAATATGGCGATTTGTTGGTGTCTCGCAGATCAATTATTTGCCTCTGCCTTCGCATCAGGAAATAGTTGACCTGCTTGCCAGCGACAAATCACGATATCTTCCTCAACCTCGTCTAATAATTGATAAATGTATTGTATTTATTGTAAGATCCCGCTTTAACTAGATGCACATTTTACGGAATAAACACTCGGCTGGCTTTGGCTGTTTGCTAGTAATTTTGCCAAAAGGTACATTTTTTAATACGATTTGCTCCTCCAGTTTGAGTTTATAATTTTATTCTTTACTTATTTTCACATGCAGATGTGTCGTATTCTCAGAATCGAATCTTTGGAGCAATGAGAGAGTGGATGCAAAAAGTTCCTTGTTTACGTTTCGTACAAAGAAGATCCCAGACAGGATATCTGTACTTTCATTCCGGATCTGGGTGAGTTCCACTATCAAGTAATGATGACAAATTATTGTCAAAGTTCCGTAGATACTCTGTACCAAATCATATCATTGTGTTACCCTGCTCTGCTCTGTTCTGTTCTGTTCTGTTCTGTCTTGTCCTGTCCTGTCCTGTCCGTCCTATCCTGTTCTGTTCTGTTCTGTTCTGTTCTGTTCTGTTCTGTTCTGTTCTGTTCTGTTCTGTTCTGTTCTGTTTTGTCTTGCTCTGTTTTGTTTTGTTTTGTTTTGTTTTGTTTTGTTTGCTGTGCGCGTGTTCTTTTGTATATATTGTTTTGTGTTCTGTTGTATAGACCTTTCCCATGTGAAAACGAAACAATGTTTTGACTGAATCGAGGCGTGCAATGAAATTTTATTGTTTATATTGCCCGCCCCCATTTCAAACTATTGTTTCGTGTTCAGTTACGTAAATTCGGGAAACTTAAGTGTCGATTATATTTGTCTTACTTTGCCTTGTGTTGTGTTGCGTCGCATCGCATTGCATATGTACCCCCAGTGAAATGTTATAGTCGGTCTCAAGATTGATTAGATTCGGTCTTAAAATAAAGTGTTCTATAAACAATTAAACATACACAGCGAGACCAACTAAAAATGTCTGGAGACCACGGTTTCAACCATTGCTAGAAAGTCCAAACCATAATATCACAACTATAAAATACATCGTATTTGTTTATGAACAAAAATATACCTATTGAAAATCTAATGGAGGTGAATGCTAAAAATTCACAATGATACAGCACTTCAGCAAACCTCTCATGTTACGCTTATACGAGTCTTACTACAGTTTGTCATTTGCTACTGTTTTATAAACAACAAGAAACTACAAGACGCTCTACGGAGCGTTAACTCACTGGGGTTATACAAATAGCACATTACTGTACATGATCACACTCCAATACATAGCAGAAATGTCGAAAACGAGCGCGAAAGGCTTAACACAGTACTAAAATGCGGTAGGCCCTACCCTACACTGCAAGTAAAGTTATCAGTATATTCAACCTCGCAACGCAGGCTGAAAGACCCTGGCTTGCAAGGTTGAGTTATATTTAGGACGCTGCAATCCTTCTTCAAGAACTGTCAGCCGCCAGTTGGTCCGTACGCTAGGCCTAGGATTAAACTGCGCTTTAAAACGTTCAAAATAAAATATTTTTGAGCTCAAAATACTATCAAAATAGAGACGAATCCACTGGTATACGGCCGAAAAAGAGAAAACCAATGATACCAAAGTTATCAAGGATAAAACGTACTGTATTTTTTATAATTAGTTTAAAGGTGATCTACAGTCCGTATGTAAACAAAGCCTTTGTTTACATTTTTGGGTCCAAAATATTGAGCTCTATTCGACAACTATTTATATTTTCAAGCTTCTAGAGTATAATAAATGATCAAGAACAACAATCAGGCTTTTCAAGAACTCAAAACATAGTTAAACTGTTTGTATCATAAAAAGTGGGCTCATTTGTGCACATGCGCAGATCGGACTGTAGATCACCTAATTAATAATTAATAATTTTGAGCGACTTATCAAGAACACAATTTCGCTTGATTTTCAAAGACAAAGGCCATAAATCCGCTAGAATACGGTTGTTTAGTAATACATTTGACATCCGTAATTAGTACAATTTCTAACGCTGAATGGAACGGTGGATATATCCTTATGGCGCCATTAGCCATTACAAAACACTATGAAACGTACTGCGAGCTGTTTGTCAACAATTACGTTAACAATACAATTTGACCAATTTCGCTTGATTTTCAAAGGCCATAAATCGCTAGAATACTGCTGTTTTGTAATACATTTGACATCCGTGAGTACAATTTCTTACGCTGAATCGAACGGTGGTATTTTTATCTTTATTGCGCCATTAGGCATTACAAATACAAGAACGTTTGTAGCGCGAGTGATTTCTCAACAATAGTATACGTACTGCGAACGATTTATCAACAAACACAATGTCGCTTGATTTTCAAAGGCCATAAATCGCTAGAATACTGGTGTTTTGTAGTACACTCGACATCCGTAAGTACAATTTCTTACGCTGAATCGAACGGTCTTGCTTCGGTTCTCTATAAAACTTTATAAACTTACTTGCGATTTGCGAAGGTTGCTGTTTCCATGCGAAATTCCTTGTAAAATTGTTCAATTTTCCGGAATTTTCCTCAAAATACAGGGTTATTTATGGATAATTTGGGTAAAATTGGCAGAAGCCTTATGGATAATTGGGGGGAAAATTAGGCAACTCATTAATATTCTATTTTGTGGCTATCAACGACGATCTGACATCCGACATCCACAACGCGTGCCGAAACCTATACTCGCCAGGGCACAGAGTGCCCCAGCGAGTAATAAAAATAGGTACGCAGTGCGTACATGTTGCATGCCAATAAAATCTTGATGCGCGCGCTCATAACTAATCTAAATGATAATCAACAAATATAGTACAATACTAAATAAGATTTATTTTGGACGATGGCTACTGTATGTATACAAAATTGAAATTAGAGTATGGGTTACAGTCAATTTTTCAATATATAAAATAAGTCCACAAGTCAGTGATTTAGTTACAATCCATTCCACAATTTCCAAAGTTTGCCAAAAATGGTCAATGACAACGTGAATTATAAATTACGAACATTCAACTAGTGAAAACTAAAATACCAGTCACTTTTCTATGACAATAGAACACGTCTTATTGCGTATTACAGTATATGTTCTACCCAGTGTAAGTTTGAAGATGTTGATTATGATGCATATCAAGTCCATTGTTCGTATAACAGGTACTGTACTCACGCACGTTGTTGGCTTGATTATGAGTATTCGAACAGGTGCAATGTACCGTACAGCAAAGTACTGCTTTAAGTACTGTGCATCTTTCTTAACTATCAAGTCTTCCTTGCCGCGTTACCTTTTCTTCGTACTGGTACGTGCGACTTCGTTGAGTAGCTTTTCGCTTTAAAATGTTCTGGTGTCAGAGCCAGGTGCAATGTAACGTACAACAAATATCCAAGTCGTATCTTCAAGTACTGTGCATCTTTCTTACTTCTCACTTTTCATGTCTTCCACGTAGAATTTTCAGAATACATAACGATGACACAACTGTAGACGTATTAACTTTTCTTTGTACGTGCGATTTCGTTGAAGTGGTCGTGTCAGTTAATGGTCAAGCAATTGGTAGCTGAATTGAATTGTTTCATTTTCGAATATTCATTGACATAAGATATATTATTCAACATAATTTATCCACCAATGTTGTGAGGCGCAAGCAAATGGAAGGCATATTATTGTATACGTCTGATATCTGTAAATATTAATGCAACAGTATTAGTGGATGCAATTATGTATAATGTAACATGGATTTCAAAAGCCATACAGTTCGAGCTTTTTTTCCGTGACATGACTAGATGGTAATAAAACGTAGCAACATACCAAAATTGTTCTATTTTGAGTACTTTTGTTGATTGAAGTTATCGTTAATTAATGTGATCATGTTAATGTATAGAGATATCTAAAAAAGAAGAAAAACACACACAATTAAACACATAAACAAAGGGAAGGGAAAGGGGGAAAGAGAAAAAGAAGACTTACCTAAATGTAGCCATCGTCCACACAAAGACTTATTTTCATAATATTGACAGTGGCTTGTCTTAATAACATTGGCAGTGGACAGCTGCTTGCCTTAATAACACTGGGAGTGGCGCAATGGCTTGCCTTAATAACACTGGGAGTGGCGCAATGGCTTGTCTTAATAACATTCGTATGCAGTGGCACAATGGCTTGCTATCTTTGCAATACCTTAATTGAATGGTATATAATTATTATTTCTATGTCCTAAGAGAAGCCCATATTGCTTTATGATCACTAAAGTAAGTTTCTAGAATACCAGCTTCAATTTCCTCTTCAAATAAATTTGTGTATAAATGATCAATTAACGTTCTGTTGTCGGTTGTAAAGCCTGTTATCAGTTGCCTGTAATGATTTTGTACAACCATCAAATTGTACAGTGACTGTCGATCAGATTCTACCATCCAGTTGACATTGAAATCTCCAATTATAATGTTTTGTGCAGAAGAATCTTCATCAAGCACACTACGTAGTGAAGACAGTAGACGTGATATAGCAATATTGGGTGAACGATATACTCCAATTATATTCAGATGCGGATTACTTTCTGTTTTAATAATTGTAAACTCGATTCCATTGACGTTGTGAGCATAAGGGTATCCTTCTTTTAAAGGGACTCGGCTATAAACAGCTGTTCCACCGTATGGACGTCCTGGACCCGTACCTTGGGAAACATCATTTCTGAACAACCTGTAGCCATCAATGTTGTATATATCGTCAGTGTCTGAGGAGTTAAACCTTGTTTCAGTAAATATCACAATATCCATAGACGAATAATTAATATCTTTTCGAACATCTTCAATGTGTTTATGCAGAGATCTTGCATTGAGGTAACAAACTTTCAAATCAGATTGATCCAACATATAAAGTGGTTTAAAACAAAGATTCAAACTTTGTTCGGTTCTTAAGATTTCCATTTCCTTGACAACTCTTTGATCAACAGATATCTTTCTGTCTTCACATAGGTCAGTGATGTATAATCCTTCTATTGTTGTAACACGACTTAAAGCAACATAATGAATGTAAGGAAAAGATCTGTTGCTGTTTAGGTTTACAACAACTTGTGTTTGAGTATCACCTTGTGATCTATGAACAGTTTTTGCTGATGCTGGTCGCAATGGAAACTGTTTCCTAACAACTTGAGCAGATTTCGTTCTACCAACTGGAAATTGGGTTGTGACAGGTTTAATTGGTGTCCATGTGCTTTGAACTCCTCTGACATAAAGCGTTCTGTTTTCTTGACGAGTTTTTCTACCAACATCTTCATAATCAAATTGGACCCAGATAAGACCCGAAGGTTTATTTCATCAGTGAGCTGTATCAACTTTATAATGTTACTCGCCCCATTTGTAAGACCATCATCAGTTCGCACATTTGTTGCAACTTCTGTACGTTGCCCAACAGCAAGTTTTAGTTTGTGAGCTAACTGTTTAGAATTTCTTAACGGAACATAAGGTATTTGCCTCATTATTTTTTCCTTAAGTTCAGCTGAAGCTGCCCCAATAACACTCTCTTGAGCTTTAATTGTATATCTATTATCAGTAAATGATTCATATACTTGTTCATTATATTTGTCTACTAAAGCATTTTGAATAAACAAGCGTGGAGCTTCTTGAGGACAATTCGATTCCTGAACGCATCTTTCCTTCAGCTTTTGAAGATCAGTAGTTGTATGTTTACCTTCGCGTTTCTCTTTGTCGCATAATCTCATCAAGTTCAAACATTCTAAAATATTTTTTCCATAAATTTGGAGCAAGAACACTATAATAGTTTAAAGACTGGAGATCAGTGAAAATGTAGCCATCCATGACAGGTTTAAGTTGAAATAAGTCACCGATTGTGATGATGCTAACACCACCAAAGTCGTCTTTGCTTCCTTTTAAATCTTTTAAACGGTTATTTAATTGAACTGTAAACATGCTGTTTCCAACAATTGATATTTCATCAAGTAATATCTACTTTAAAGCACCCAGCTTACATCGTAAAGTGTTCAACCTACCAGAGTCCAGTGGTTTATAAATTTTAAGCGATTGGCTCGCTGGAATTGATAAGGCACTATGGATTGTGTTTCCTTTAATTAGATAAGCTGCTTTTCCTGTTGGAGCAAGCAATAATACTTGAACGCGACGAAAGTCTTCGCCAGCTCGTTTGTTATAGTGCTTTAAAGCAGCCTGATAAATTGACTTAATTAAGTGAGATTTACCAACCCCTCCACTTCCACTTAAAAAGGCATAAAATGGATTATCAGATATCTTCATTAAATGTAAGGCATGATAAAAAAATTCCCTTTGTTTCTTGTTTAGCATTTGGACCAAACGTCGGTATTCATCATCTTCCATTTCATTTAAAAGAAGTGGTTCATTATTAGGTAACCTTGATGGGATACCCAAGTCTTCAGAAACATCATATGTTTCATTTAAATCTGGATGTGTATCTGTATTACCTTCGTTCTCATCCCGACGCTCAGTGTCTTGTGTAACTGGTGCTATTGTGTCATACACATCATCATCACATTCTTGTAAGTGATGTTGAATTTCATTTAAATCTTCACTACAAACCGCGTATTGTTCCATTTTTTCACTGATCTCATCACGACGAGCTTCGTAATGTTCTTGAAAGGAAGAGTAAGCTCCCATTAAATCGGCCTGTTCATTTCGCCATGGAGTGAAAAGCATGATCAACTCACGATGTTTTTCTGGTTGAGATTCTTTGTTAAACCAAACACTGCGGATAATTCTTGCATGTGATCTTTTTTTGATCGACTTTTTAGATGAAACACAACTTTCAGTGTTTTGAACACCTAGGTCATCATCATTATTTTCATCTTCATCTTCCAAAGGAAGGTTGTCAATATCTGATTTTTTAACAGATTTCTTATATTTGGTCAGCCCAGATGAGTCGTACCATGCTGCCCAGTCAGCTAATGTAATTAAATTTAAACTGTCTGGTCGTTCTACATATCTTTTCAGAAGTCCACCAGAGTGAATTTCTTCAGATTCGTCTGACATCTTCTCAATCTCACTGAGAGGTTTCAACAGTTCAACACGATCATTTGGAGGAGATGTGTTAATGAATACAACATTTCGAGAAGATTTTCTCATGGGAAGTTGCAGAATGATGTACACTGCTTCTTGTGCACTTATTTCAACAGAGTTTAAAAACTTGTTGCCAATATCACGAACCTGTTGTTTGATGGTGGAATTACCTTCCTTAGCTTCAGCACATGCGTTACGTAACAAGTCACTCATTCCTTTTTGAGCTTTAGAAATATAGGAAACAATATACATTGCACAGGCATATACATCCAGCACAAATTGAATGTCCATATTTGCTCTCCACGCTTGGAGGCAAGCAGGATTATAATTATTAATCCTTAATTCATTGGGACTTCTTTTTAGAAATATTGTTGGACAATTTAGTGATGATCGAATTGCAAGAATATATTGATATTCGGAAACATTTAGTTCTTTCAGAAGTTGATCAAATGTTACGTCTTCTCCCTCTTTTAAATCATTTAGTTTATTCTTAATATTTTTCCACAACTCTTTTCTGGCTCTTATGGCAGTGTCAGAAGCATTGTCATCAAGTGGATGAAGTATCTGTGTTGATCTAATGGGTGGCTGAGGATAATTAAATCTACAAAGTTTTTTGGAGTTTTTTCGGCATGTGTGAGAATGTCTATGAGTTTGTCTGTTTACAAGATCAAATAATTCAGTGTCATTATCAGGCTTTATAATAATAATAATAATAAAATCTTTATTTATACTGATAAAAAAGACCGTTCAGTCAATTACATAGATTGGCTGGTATCAATCGGTGATCAGTGTATAACAAGTATATATACAATAACATAAGTGCGTAACAGTGCATAAATAAGGCTATATAATGTAAACACTGTTTACACCTGCAACCTCCGCTGCGATTCCAGGCGCGACACTCCTCCCCCGATGCATGCGAACGAGCAGATGAGCAATGAATGTTCTGAGTACATGTACCTTCATCTAAACATTCACAACTCATCCACCCCCTCACACCCACCAAGAGAAAAAGACCGCACCCAAAATCGCAGCAAAAATTGCAAGTGTCAACAGGCCTTAAGATGTCTAAAATTACAAACTACAATTGTGCGTAACAGCATCCATGTTTATCAAGTGTTTAAACACTTCATTCTTGAACCGCACAAGTGTTTTTAATTCTCGTATTTCTGTCGGTAGAGAATTCCAATCTTTGGCAGCCGAGAATCTGAATGAGGTCTCGCCACATCTAGTTCTTACTGGCGGTAAACCTAGCAATGTTGGATCTCTAAGAGATCGACAGTGCATTTGTGATCGTCTTACTAGATAGCCTATCAACTGCTTCGGGCAGTTTATGTTGTTTACGATCTTATAAACGTATTGCAATCTTATAAGACGACGTCTTCCGTACAGTGACAAAAGGTGTAATTTAGCACGCATCTCCTGAGTACATGTCTTACGGTTCGCGTGTAACACTATCCGCATCGCTTGATTTTGTAGTCGTTCTAAGCTTTGGACGTTTCTCTTTCCGCATTCAGCCCATAAGACGCATCCGTAATCTAACAGGGGAAGCACAGTTTGCTTGTAGATCTTTAGCAAAACATTGCGGCTAAGAAAATGTGAAATTCTGTTAAGCAGTTTAAGTTTTGGATAAACTCTTGATTTTATATACGTGATATGTTTATTCCATGTCAGGCAGTTATCTATATAAACACCTAGGTGCTTATAATATTCTGACTGTTTCATTGGGTTTCCATCAAGTATAATCTGTAACTCTCTGGTATTCTTGACAGTGTACCTCGATCCAATCAGCATTGCCTCACACTTCTTGTGATTACTGATTAGGCCGTTCTGATTCCACCACATTACGATATTTTCAAGATCTTGGTTGACCCGTTGTTCCGCCACGTCAATGTCTTTCGAGCTCGCATGGATTTCTGTATTGTCTTCGTACAACGCCGCCTCACTGTCCTTGCACGCATCAGCGATCCCGTTTATATGGATGTTAAATAGCGTTGGGCGGAGGACTGAACCCTGTGGAACTCCGTGTGTAATTAAACGCCGTTGCGACTCTACGCCTTCGCACGAGACATATTGCTTCCTTTCGTGTAGATAACTCGTGAACCATTTCAGTTCGTTTCCAGTCACTCCGCTTTTCGATAGTTTGCTTATCAAGATGTCATGATCTATGATGTCAAACGCCTTTCTACAAGTTATTATTTGGTCAATGAAATTAACTACATCTTCATCTTTATCAACACCAAATACAGGTGCATTTTCAAGCCATATGAGCATATGAATGTGAGGCGAGCCTCTCTGTTGGTATTCAACCCTGTAAAACCAATCTTTTAGTTTCCCTAATGGGGCAATTTCACTCATTAAAAAATCTTTTAAGAAAGCATTAAATTGGTAATCAAAATGCCTTGCACAAGTTACTGGGTCACTTTGAATTAGTCTACACTTTTCATCCCAATTTAAATGATCTAATTCTTCATCACTATAATCTTTGTGATCAACAAGCTTACCAAGGATTCTTAGTAAATGATTCCATTTTGTTTCAGCAGATGAAAAACTACAAAATAATGATGCAGGTCTTAACTGCCGAATCATAGCAAACAAATCTTTTTTGGCTTTTTCAAAGTAAGGTGGGGAACCTCTCAAAGCTCTTAAAAATTTGTATCCTTCATCATGGCAAATGAGATTTGTTAAACCTTCCGGTGTTTTTAACTCACCAGCAGTAAGTGTTCTGTTTCCCATTTTACACTTGCGAATAGCAAGTTGAAATTGCCCTAGCAATAATTTCATCTGCATTTTTTTAGTTTTAAAAAATATGTTCTCAATACACATTGCGGCTCTTCTATCAGACCGTCTTAGTTCAGATTTGCATATTTCACTGTAGTAAACATGAGTCAATCTTTGCTTCTCATCTGGTCGCCTTTGACCTAGGAATATTCCTGGATAAGCTAGTTCCTCTGAATACTGATCTCTAAATATACTAAGTGGTCTACTACCTTCAGCAGGTGCAACATTGTATATATGTTGTCTTTCAGTATCATCTACAAAATCAGTAGGTGTAAGCATGCTGTCTGTTACACCTGCAGGAATTTCTGCTTCGTCTTCACTCCATTCATCTTCTGAAGATGTCGAATTAGTTTGATCAACTGTAGTATTTTCATTGTCACTATTAGGTGTTGTAACATCAAAGTACGATAACCAATGCTGATCAAACGTTATTCCTTGTTCTCGATATAGTTCACTAGTATTTACCAACCAAGCTGCTGCTTGCATCACTTTATTAGGTCTCACGTTCAAAGACAAGGCAGAACTCTTATATTGCAGTCGACGTTTTAATTGAACTTTAATAGTCCCAGTATCTTGTGGTAACCTGGGTAGCATGTTAACAGTATTACATATGTCTGCTGGTACATTCACAACATTACCAGTAATTTTAAGTTGCCGTCCTCTCGGAGCTTGCATTATTTTTTGAAATGCCAATCTTGGAGCTATAAGTCTGCATTCTAATTCATTTAAATCAAAGAAGTCAGGTTTTTCTGGAAACTTCAAGCCATTTGAAATTGCAGATGGTGGCACTTTATCCTTTTTAAGATGTTTGTCACATGTCAAACACAACCATTCAATATTATCCACACTTTTAATACCTTGTAGATGTTTAGTAGAATTTGGATTGGATAATCGAAGTCTCTCAGCAGGACAAACACTATGTTTATACCATAATTGATCACAGCATAAACAAATATACAGAGGACCTGTTGATACAGATTTATGGAATTTATGTATAAATTGTGATACACTATTATGTGATTTATTGTTATCATTATTGAGATGCCCTTGAGAACTTGATAGAGGACATTGTTTGTTTTTTCCAGAACGTCTACTTTTATTTTCCTTATAATTAGCTCTTGCTTTTGCTAATCGTTGCTCTCTTTGTTTGACAGTTTCATTTTGCCTTTTCAACCTTCTTGCTTTTCGCTGGTTTTGAAGCCTATTTTCCCTCTCTGAAACAGTTTCTTGTTGTTTTGCCTGTTTTCTTTTCTCTCTTTGCTTTGCAAGTCTGTTTTCTCGTTCTACAACATTTTCTTGTTGTTTTGCTTGGGTTTCTTTCTTTCCTTGCTTTGCAAGTCTATACTCTCTCTCTCTGAAACAGTTTCTTGTTGTTTTGCCTGTTTTCTTTTCTCTCTTAGCTTTGCAAGTCTATTCTCTGCAACAGACTCTTTTTGTTTTGCTTGTTGCCTTTTCTCTCTTTGCTTCTCTCTGAGCTTTGCAAGTCTGTTTTCTCTTTCTACAACAAATTCTTGTTGTTTTGCTTGTCTTCTTCTCTCCTTTCGCTTTACAAGTCTATTTTCCCTCTCTACAACAGACTCTTGTTGTCTTTTATTCTCCTTTCGCTTTGCGAGTCCATTTTCTTTTTCTATAACACACTCTTGTTGTTTTGTTGGTTGTTCATGGTTATTTGATATCGTGTAATTCGCTGTGTTATCCAAACTATTTGACAATGAAGTATTTCTATGACATTTAACACCCTTCAACTCAAATAGACCATTTTGTCCAGAATAGTTATAACTGTTAAGAAAAAAACTTATAAGGTTTTGAATTCCTTCAATAGAAACTAAAACACTATAACCCATTGCCGCTGGCATTCCATGCATATCTCGTGAATGAGAATCAAAAACTTTAAATACATCTGGGAAAGGCATTAAAACTGCAACAGTGTTTGCTTGAATAGTAAGTAAACATGCTTTATAATTACCAGCATCAAATACTTCATGAAAGGCATGTTCAAGTGTAACATACGGTTCATTGTTACATTCCATCCATAATGCTCCAGAAAAAGAGACACTGTACTCCAAATTAAAAGTATCATTGTTGATAGACAATATTTCAGGAACATCAGTGAGCAACAAGAAATCTTTCTGAATGTGCTGACTAATTATGGCATAAAGATTGTTTGCATTAACTAGAAGCATGTTCATAAGTGGTGTATCCCAAATATTAACAGATTTTATTTCATTGTATACAATAGCATAAATTGACATGGCAACACATTGTTTTCCAGCATTTATGCCAAACATGGATATATTACCTTGGTTGAAGTCTGCTCGAACTGTAAAACTATGATCAACAATATCATAGATATTAATTGGGCCTGGATTTTCCTCTACATCATTTGCAAGCCTCAATAGCAATGGTACATAAACATGATAAGATACCATTTGTGTATACCACATGCAAACTTCATTATTACTTTCAATCCTGGTAACTAGATTTTTCAAGCATGGTAAATAAAATATTTCTAAGTAGAACATTACTAACATATGGTTCCAAAATTTACCTTTCATTTGATTCATGGACTGTCGTGCTTGCACAAAGTTGTTATGCGAACCAATTCTTAGTCTGTATATCTCAATTGACACACCCATATTTCTATATTCTCACTGTTTGGAATAAAATAGTTTCGTTCCAGTAATTGTCAACAAGTAGTGTAGTAGTGTACTGTGTATTTTCAGTATTGTCTTTGACAGTTTGTATTTGTAATTCTTTTAAAATTGCACAATGGCAAAGTCTCAATAATCCCAGCACAATGGCAATGGGTTGCTTTTTTTACCTGCACAATGGCAAGGTTCAATTTGAGTGCGTGGCCTTTCAGGCAAATAGCGCCCTGATAAATAATCAGTGCGAGCACAATGGCTCCGTTTCAATTTGAGTATTTTGAGAGCGTGGCCTTTCACGCTAATAGCGCCTGATAAATAATCAGTGCGAGCACAATGGCTCCGTTTCAATTTGAGTATTTTGAGAGCGTGGCCTTTCACGCTAATAGCGCCTGATAAATAATCAGTGCGGGCACAATGGCTCCGTTTCAATTTGAGTATTGAGTATTTTGAGAGCGTGGCCTTTCACGCAAATAACGCCTGATAAAATAATCAGTGCGAGCACAATGGCTCCAATTTCAGTTTGAGTATATTTAATAAAATCGAGTATTTTGATAGCGTGGCCTTTCACGCTATGTAATATAAAATCACAACAGATAACAGAATATAGGTAAATTAAAAACAGCAAAGCTTTACCTACCTTCTAAAGCGCTCGATTTATATGTAACTCGAAATTTTCGACCAACAATCGACGAACGGTCGAAAATGTGCAGAGTGAATCACATCACATGATCAGTTGTTCACATGATTCAAAATTTATAATTATGCTGAGATAATTATGCTTATAATACTCGTAAATATTCGTCGGGAAAACTCGGTATTTGTCGTACACTCGTACTTTAACGAATGTACCACGTGATTTACGACCGGTTGACCGGTACGCACACTGAACACGACATGAAATTTAGAGCTATATGAAAGTTGCATGTCATATATGGCATGCAACAAAAACAATTGATTTCAAAAGAAATTAATGATGCAGAACACGAATATATTAATATTGCCCCCCCTCCCCAATTATCGAGTTTGCTACGCCACTGACAGCACTAGACACATTTTGCTCGGATAAAGTATATTTTGCATGACCAAATTAAAGCAAAACATTTAGAATCAGTCTAGTGAGTCTACGCTGCCAACTTCGAGAATCATTAGTTTCACAAGTGTCTAGTTCATCAGTATTTATCAAGTCAAAATTTCGAAGGTTTTGAACGTTTAACGATTTGCACATTTTGCCCCCCCTCATTTGCACATTTTGCCCCCCCCATTTTGCCCCCCCTCAAAAAAAATTATTAGTCACTAAGGGAGACTAAAGGCTACACAAGCGTTCTGTCGTTATCGGAAAATGTATGGCTTATAAGTTGTCATTACTCATTAGTGAATGCGCGTATACAGGAAACTGTTTTTTACAGTTTCAATATTAGTTTGTAAATCTCTGAATGGTAAAACTTGCCAATACTCCAATAATACGTTTCAAAAAAAGACAAAAAAGCTTTAGTTTTGCAGAGTTAAATTCTCAAACGTGTAAGGCAATAATAAGATGAAAGTATCACGAAATTATTTGAATAAACCACATCGCATATATGGGGGGCGAATGTCCTAAAGAGGGGCGATATTCCTAGGGTATTCGCCGCACCCCCTTGGGAGGCGATATTCCTAGGATATTCGCCCCCCGGGGGAGATATTCCTAGGAATATCGCCACGTTTTGAGGGGGGGGGGAATTTCCTGGGGGGGCGACCTTTTTAAAAATTCTATCTTGCCCCCCAAAAATTTGAGTTTGCCCTCAAATGCCCCCCCCAAATTTGGAAGCCTGGCGCCGCCACTGTTTGCACAAGATCGAAACTGGGTCACGCAGTTCCTGGTCCACCATAGTACGATCGTACTTATAAAATACACTGCGAGCAGAACGATTGGTAATGCGTACATGCATGTGTAATGCAGTCTAATGTCATAAGTCGAATCGCATCGTATAACCGCATGTAACTTGTCTCGTTTTGTAAGGAGCACTCCGCAGCTTAATAAATAAAATAATGCGTGTGGTAGGCAGGTCAGGTGATAGGTTCAGATTGACTTCCACAGTGACTGCTACGTACCGCTCTCAGGCGCATAATACGCATTTAAATAATATTGATTGGTTAATCGGGTAGATTAATATGATGGCCTAATGGTAGTGGAAGTCAAAATAGTTTCAACCTCTCTAATGTGATTTTAAGGAGGCTCCCTACAGTTCCGTGCGGGATGTTCGCGGGACAAGTACGTGAACTATCCCACGCAACTGCATGATCAAAACAAAACAAAAATTGACCATGCTTTTTTTAAAAATAAAGCTATTTCTGAAAGTTTTCTAATGGAAAAAAGCGTTGAATAATACTTCGTTTTGAGTGCCAAATCACTTGCGAGTCTATATAGCAATTCTACATAATTATTATTATGATACGAATATCACTAGACCAAAAAATAGCTACGAAACAATATTTTAAATTTTTTTTATACACTGTCAACTGACTCAACTGTAAAACATTTGCAAAATTGCATACAAACGTTTAAAAAGTTGTTTACTTGTCGTGTTTCTACAAGATTAAAGTGATTATATGTAAACAGAACAATATTTCAGTTTCATAGCATAATTGTTCATTTTTAGCAAAAAGGACAAAACCAAACATGAAACAAAAAAACACGTCCACCTGTTAATAGGCTGTTACAGCTCATAGACTAAGTAAACGGCAGGATTCAATTAGCTTCAACCTTGTTTTCATCGATTTAATCCTTCACAATAATCCTTGGCTGTCCATAGCACTCAAATAAATCGAAAAGTTGACAAAAACAAAACAGTAAAACCAACATTGCGGCTCGATTTTGCTGAATGAAAACTCGTTCTGCGCCCGCGTACAATCTTTTACTAGTCAGCGACGCTTTTCAATAGGGGAATTTCTCGAGTTACACGAGGCTATTTTCTAACTTTATTTGCATTTTACTCATTAGTTTCATCGGTGACCTATCTTCAAATTTTGTCCACGAATTTATTTTGCGGTAAATTTTATAAATTTCAAATTTTAAAAAAATCTGTAGTGTGGAAATTTCGCAATAAATTTTTCGCTTTTAAAAAAATCACACACTACAGAATTTTTTTAAACTTTCACCACAGTTGCAGAGCATCATTCCTTATTGATATATGAAATAAAAAAGATAGGTCACCGACATCGTTTTTGAGATAGCGGCACATTTATGGGTTAAATTGGAAGGCATAAATGCTGTCGTCATGTTGCCATGGGAACATTAATGTTGTCGAAATCTAGTTTAAAATGTTCCTTAGGTGACCAATATTGCCACCAAGTCGAAAAGAATTCGCGTTCTTCACGAATAAGCCTGTTTTACGGAATTATTGCTTAAACAAGAATAACTGTAGGGAGCCACCTTAAGGTAAAAAACGTTCAACGTTCAAACTCATGTGAAAACCGGCGATAGCTCTTTATCTTTATTTAGAGAAACAAAGATAGATGATCAGAACAATTAGACAATTCCCATTAAAGACTATTTTTTTATCTTAGCAAAATAAGTATATTCCCGCATATTATTACAATTTTTGCATGCAATACAAAAGTATACAAAATTTGCAAATTTTGCAAGGACATATTTTCCGTATTTTACAACATTTCGCAACCAAACTTTGCAATAATTTATTTATTTTAGTATGCTCTTGCTAGCTGTGGTAATTTATTTGCATCAAGGCCGGATTTTGAGGGCAGGTGTGTAGAGGTGCGCACTTCCCCTGAGATCGTTTTGCACCTCCCATAAGAATTTTTGCACCTCTCCTGAAAGGTCATGCATCTCCCCTTGGGAAAGTTTCAATATCAAACACAGAGAAAATGTGATGGTTTCTTAGGATCTACAGTTCGTGACGTAAAATTGAAACAGTGATAGCCATTCATCTCTGTCTCAAGTACCTCTTTAATGCAACGTTTTCAAAGAAACTTTGTCCCCGAGCCGACAGCGCGAAGCGCCGTGCGAGGGTACTGATTCCCCCCGGCTATTTACACCCGGGGAAACGAAAGCATTAGCGAAGTCTAAAGTTCACCAATTATCGCGGGCGCTCACCAACGGTGTTGAGCAGGGCGAAGGGAGAGAGGGCGTAGAAACGGCCATACATCGAGCGGACCCATCCGTGATGCGGGCTTCGCGGGGGGTAAGACGTTCTAATTGTGAACAAATATGGCTACGCGTATATGACCCATCAGAAGGTATGCTGAAACTATTGCTTTATAAAATATTACTTGTGTAAAATTTATATGTTTTTGTTACTTTCAGCAATTATAAGAAACTTAAAGATAAGATTTAAGTAACCAAAAACTTTATTTCGGGTGTTATTTTATTTATATACTCTGTTTAATTTGGTGTTTAAAAATGGCCGTCGAAATGTTGTCCGAGAGTGTTAGCGCGCACTGCTTCCTGATAAAAACCCAATGATTTCCAAAACCTAAATTATAATTTGTTATTAAGTTATGATGAAAACCTTTGTGTATACAAAATTATAGAGTGAGCAAACATGAGACAGATAGGTTTTGAACCTTTCAAAGTTCGAGGTCGAATTGACAGTTGAAATAGTACCAAACTCCAAGCTGAAATGTGCAACTAAATCGTGTATATTTTTGTCAATTTTGTTCGCTGGCTTTGTCAAATTCACTTGCAATGGCTCGACATAAGTTACAACATACAAACTGAGCAGAGCCCATGAAAGAGCTATTCATACCCATACAGTCATTCAGCTTCCTTGCTATTTAGAAATTGTTGCCCATTAGTTGAAGAATTGCTATTGTATGCCCTTGTTTGCACTTCCTTTTCCGCAAAAGTCTACAATATTAAGGCTAAATAGCAGAAAAATATGACCCAATAATCCATGCAATTAAAAATATCTATCAAATTAACTTCAAAAATCATGATTTGGGAATTATATCTATTCAGGCAATCAACCCATAATTTAGTGACAGATCTTGGGATTGGTGTACTACAAAACTATATTGACTGAAGTTTTGGAAAAATTTAGCCAACTTTAGCCAACTTTTGAAGGATTTTATTAGGTCCAGTTCACATGAGACTGGAACGAAGTCAATTAACCGGGACCATTTCGTTTTGGTCATTAGATTATATATAATAGATGTTTACATGAGGTCTCAAGTCATTCCGCCTGCTGGACCAAGCTGACTGACTCAGACCAGTATGAATTCAGACTGGAATGAATGTTGACATTGGAACAAGTGAACAACACATGCTAACAAAAGTCATCTAAAAAAGAAAATTGCCTGGCAAGGGGAATAAATTGAAAATTTTGTGATTTTCATACTGGTCTCATGTAAACATGTTGACAATCAATTTCAATTTTCCAGGTTGGTTTCATCCTGGTCTCATGTAAAAGGGACCTTACAAACTGTGATTCAGTATCATGGGATGAGATTAGGGGCCTGTTTATATGATCCCGGCCAGGCGGGACGGGATGCTCACCGAGATCCCGCTCGTAATACAAATGCTAAAGAGTGTTTATATGATCCCGCCACTTATCCCGCCTAGACTGGATTTCGGCAACAGATGCCGGGATCCTGCCTAAGCGAGATGAAAAATTCCCATATAAAAACACTTCATCCCGCCTAGCCGGGATGAAAAATTCCCATATAAACACTTCATCCCGGTTAGGCGTAATGAATTTTTCCCTTTTGGGCATGCATAAATGCCTTTATTGCAACAAAAATATGACGTCAAGCGGCGAATGGTTTCATCCCGGCAATGTATTTTGTCCATATAAACACTAGGCGAGTATCCTGTCTTGGCGGGATGAAAACGTCCCGTCCCATCTAGGCGGGATCATATAACAGACCCTAAGGAATTGAAAGATTTTATAAGTGAGCAATGCTTAAAAGCAAGATATATAAACAATGAAAGAAATGGCACTAACAGAGCCACAACTTCTCCAGAAGTGTAAAATTCCATGATACTGAATCACAGTTTGCAAGTCAATCATTCAAAATTTAGTTAAATGTTTCCAAAACTTCAGTCAATATAGTTTTGTAGTACACCCATATGATCTTAAGGGTTCCTTTCAGCTTTCACCTTGCCAAGACCTGTCACTAAATTATGGGTTGCCTGAATAGATATAATTCCTCAAATCATGATTGGTCATGATTTTTGAAGTTAATTTGATAGATATTTTTAATTGCATGGATTATTGGGTCATATTTTTCTGCTATTTAGCCTTAATATTGTAGACTTTTTTTAGGAAAGGAAGTGCAAACAAGCGCATACAATAGCAGTTCTTCTTCGACTAATGGGCAACCATGCACTTCTAAATAGCAAGGAAGCTGAATGACTGTAGGGGTATGGATAGCTTTTTCATGGGCTCTGCTCAGTTTGTATGTTGTAACATGTCGAGCCATTGCAAGTGAATTTAACAAAGGCCAGTAAACAAAATTGACAAAAATATACACGATAAAGTTGCACATTTCAGCTTGGAGTTTGGTACTATTTCAACTGTCAATTCGACATCGAACTTCGAAAGGTTCAAAACCTCAAAAACCTATATGTCTCATATTTGGTCACTCTATAATTTTGTCTACGCAAAGGTTTTCATCATAACTTAATAACAAATTATAATTTAGGTTTTGGAAATCATTGGGTTTTTATCAGGAAGCAGTGCGCGCTAACACTCTCGGACAACATTCCGACGGCCATTTTTAAACACCAAATTAAACAAAGTATAGAAATAAAATAACACTCGAAATAAAGTTTTTGGTTACTTAAATCTTATGTTTAAGTTTCTTATAATAGCTGAAAGTAACAAAAACATATAAATTTTACACAAGTAATATTTTATAAAGCAATAGTTTCAGCATACCTTCTGATGGGTCATATACGCGTAGCCATATTTGTTTACAATTAGAACGTCTTACCCCCCCGCGAAGCCCGCATCACGGATGGGTCCGCTCGATGTATGGCCGTTTCTACGCCCTCTTTCCCTTCGCCTTGGTGTTGAGTGGGTTGTCATCACTGATCTTAAAATATGGCTGTTTGGCAGGAGTGAAGAAGGCAAAAAAGATAAAAAATGCATGTAAGAAAGCTTGGAAAATCGTTTCACATAACAAATTGTACAACTTTTTTCCAATTTTTAAACGAAAACATTGATAAGAATTTATATTGTATGATAAATCCTAAAGTATAGGGCAAGTTTGTTTCAATTGTTTATGTATGACTTTGTATTTAATAATATAGACTTTGTTCTTGATGTTTTATAAGTCTTTCCTATGCATTGTTTGCGAAAGATTCTTAGTTAAAGCGTCCTGTACGAATTAAATTTGTTTCATTTCAAAGTGCGAGTAATAAGTTGAAACTCGAGTGGAGAAGTTTATAAATACCGGCAAGAAGCAGTTAATTTCAATTCACAATTAATCTCAACAGGGGCCATTACGCGTAGAACGTGCACGTTCTACAGATGTTTCGTTTATATCTTCGGTTCAGTACACGCTATGTCGATGAAAATACCACCATTCGATTCAGTATAAAAATATATACTAATTTATAACGATAGTTTTAGTCACTGGCTACATTGTAGCGATTTATAAGCTTTGAAAGTCAAACGGGCTTATTTATGATCAAATTACGCAATATTACTAACAAATTATAAACATAGACATACCTTTCGCCGAACATAACTTCGGCCCCTTGAGACGTATGCTCATTCTTGTATTCTTGATCAATGAAGCAGTTAAAAATAACACGTACAGTGTTATTTTCAAGCTTCTATCTTTAAAACGTGAGTTTTCTTGCCGAATTTTGCATTTCTGCCCGAATTTGCGTTAATCCCAAACCGGAAATACGACGAAAAACCGTCAAAACAATGCGTAGTTGGTATCGCGTGACTCTGGAAATGCCAGAAATGGATTCTACAGGTCAAAGTGCACCCATACGCGTGAGTTTGACGTCATCCCGGCTAAAGAGAGCTCCTTATTGGCCAAGTATTACGTAATACAAGTGCATGCGAGTAAAACACGATACCTTGAAAAATTCAAAATAAATATTTCTACTCGCCGTATTCATACGAAACTTTCTACACTAAAGCGCTTGAATACAAAGAGTATTTTGCACATATATCCTTTCAGAAAATGACGCCAAATTTTAGAATATATTCAACTTTTTCTCTTTTCCCGTTTGAATGTTTGGCGAAGCCGTGAGGATAAATATATGATTGTTTCGGTTTGTGTAATGTTTTGACGGCACTTGACCCCCCGTTCGAAAGGTTATATTGCGAGGATTTCAATGGTGGCATTTATTTAAAATGGGGGTAAATACTCGCCGAGATATTTATATTAGAAAAATTGAATCGAAATGTAATACGAAACCGGTTGTTGAGAAAGGGTTAAAAAAGTTTACGTAGAGTTTCGTTTTGAATTTTACATTAAAACAAGACGCCTGCTCAGGCGTTCACACTGGCCTGAAAATAACGAGATACGTGCTATGGTGCAAAAGGCAGGAATACAAATCTTAAACCGCAAGCAAATTTTATGGACTTTTTTTTAAAAAATAAAAGACCTTTTCGGGAGACGTTAATGGCGCAAGTCAATAACTAGGAGTTACTATCGCAAGGAAAGTGCTGCCTTTTTGGCGTATGAACTGAATGCAAAAATTTATACTTCTACACAATTCTTGGTTATATCCCCAATGTTTCCTTTCGTTCATCATTTAAGCCCGTTCACAAACTCATTCTTAAATTGTGTGCACGGAATACGAGTAAATAGCCAACATAAAAATGAAGCCATTGGGTCAAAAGTGGATATTAAGGTCTATTACCTATTAGCTGCCAATGCACACTACTTTAGTATTAACTCTGGCTAACGCCAGACCAATTTTCACAGTAACGCCAGACGATTTTACTTGTTAGTGGCAGAGTACTGTCAGTAAATGGGTTAACAAACACATCTGCCAATGTCTCTTATTAACCCATTAACAGGCAATGCACCCTGCTTTAGTATTCTTTAGTGACTCTTCAGAATTTGCTCAGAGTCAATGTGAGTAAAATACATCTTGTATTCAAGCGCTTTCATATACAAAGTTTCGTTTGAATACGGCACAGAGTAGGAATATTTATTTAGAATTTTTCAGAATATCGGGTTTTTACTCGCACGCACGTTTATAGCTCGATCAATGCACGTGCAAATCATGCCGACCTACAGAATCGATTTCCGGTTTTTCCTAAACAGCGCGTTGTTTTGATGTGCGTTCCATGGGCCGCGCTAAAAATATAAATATTCTGTAAATACCGAAATAAAAGATGACAATCTCAAGACACAAGCTTGAAAATAACACTATAAATAGTGTTTTTGATTCTGGTTCCAATAATATCATTACGAAAAAGATATGTCCAAAGGGGCCGAAGTTATGTTCGGCAAAATGTATGGCTAGTACGTTTACATTGTTATATTATGAAATATGATACCATACTTGTATTAAAATTCGCGTCGAACTAATGTTATTGTATTAGGCAAATGAGTAGACTTGCCACAAGTCGACCTCGAACGAAATGCGTTTCTTCGAGGTCGACTTGTGGCAAGTCTAGCAAATGAGAACCATACAATAATGGTTCTAGTTCTTGTTGGTATTTTGAACGCACGCTTTATCTTTAGTATAGCTACCACAAAGCTTTTCACGCGGATTATATTTCGCGCAGCACTAAAATTTCCGCACCCAGCGGCCATAGCCTGTGAGAATTTACGGCCGTACACAGGCTAAGCGGCCAGCGCTACGCTAATTCTCTTAATTCTAGTACTGCGCGGATTTTAATACATGTATTTAAAGGTATATTGTCGACATTTGACTAAAACTATCGTAAGGAATTCGGAGAGTTTGTCCTTGTTTATATTCCAATATACTGTATAAATTCGTTGGGTACAAATTTATGAAATTTTGGGGTTTTCGAGTCGTTTAATTTAATACAAAAAGAAAAACATTAATTCAACAGGCAAGAAAGTCCAGAGTGCGATGCAAAAATTAACACAAGTACACAACGGATGTTATGAGTCCACGACGTATATTTATAGTTGTTTATTAAAAAGTCAAACTGTCAAACCTTTAACTTGTCCTTGTTTAAATATCCTTCTATATATTGTATAAATTCGCTGGGTCTAACTTTTCGAGTCGTTACACAAAAAAACCACATGAATTCAACACGCAAGAAAGTCCAGAGTACGACACAACGTAAAATCCATAGGAAACCGGCACAGTTCTTTGAAAATTCAACGAAACTGTGTAAATATAGTTTGATCACTCTGTGAAAAGCCGCCATTGGAGTTCGGAATTGTGCGCGTGCGTACAAGTGTATGG